AAAAAAAAAAACAAGCAAAAAAAAAAAAACATTCTGCGAATCGTATTCACTTACCATTTTTATATTCTCCCCTATTTCTTTCTTTCTTCTCTCTCTCTCTCTCCCTAGAGTATATGTATAGATATTAATGTATAGCTTTCTTTTTCACTTTCGCTAACTTCACGTTCTATTGGTACCATTGATAAATGGCGCTAAGGATGATAAAAACAAAAAAAAAAGTAATGCAAATAAATAAAAGGAAAAACTTTAGCTATGCATCTCCCACTAACAATTCCTGTGAGGTCTGGAATTTCCCACCCGATGCCCAAGAGGTGGTGTCACTTTTGTTATCGCATTTGTTGTTGTTGATGTTGTTAATGTTTTTGATGATCCTACTGGAGATACTCGTGACGGTGGAGCCATACGACGATAAGTCGCACCATTGTTCCCGGTGCACTCCCGCGTACGTTGTCCATCTCTGCCATTCATACCGCCGCCTCTCTCACCCCCTTCACGGGGGGTTTGGGGAAAAAATAAAGCATTTTCGGCATCCTCTGTCTTTCCTTGAGGTCTTAATCCACTTTGATTATATCGAGAGTTCCTCTGTTGCAGGACGTAGTTACGAGCCGCACCAGCCACTCGTTCACTGTTACTACCCCGTCGTCCACGTGTTGGCGCTCCATACATGCGTCGCACCTGATTTTCCATTTCTCCCTGTGAAAGTCGTTCACGTTCCCGTTGATCACGTCGAAGCTCATTTAGCAACTCCGTAAAGAGCTGAGTTTTATGCCACTTACTCCAAAAATCATCATATAAACGTGAAGTAGCCCATCCGCCTTCTCTACGTGAAGAATGATATGGACGATATCCACGGCTAAGAGAGGATCCCAATGAAGACATCCCTGACTTTGTACTACGATGCGGTGAAAAAATGCGGCGTTCACGTATCTCTCCTGGCAATGGTTCCACACCTATGCGTTGTGGTGTGATTCGCCTTTTGTACCGTCTATCTTCTTCTTCATCTCTAGTACTGTAAGTGGAAGATCCTTCATTATTTTCCTTTGCGTAGAAAGCCTTTTCGTACTCATCAAGACTAGAATATAGTCCTAACTTTTTGTGCAGCATATTCCGTAACAATTTCACATCCCATGGCCAAGTATTACCCGTTTCATCATTAACGCCAGCACCATTATCGAGTCTACAATCATTTGGCGCTTTTTCAAGGTTAGTAGATGGTCTACGACGATTAGAAGATAAGGGTTGATACGGAAAAAACTCAGAAGAATACCGAACATCAGTCGTTGTAATTGCTGATGGAGTTCGTTCTTCATTTACAACCCTAGTCTTTTTGACTTTATTAGAAGGACGTGTACTATTTGGCCTTCGGTATCGTGAAAAGGTCTCTGTTTCAGTTCGGTTACCTGAAACAATTCTTTCAGTCTTTCGTAATTGGGATTTTTTACCATCTCGTTGCGAAACATTAGAGAAAGATTTAGCTAAACGTTTTTTATTCTCAGATGAGGTAGGCAAAGACTTTTTATTATTATTATTATTATTATTATTATTATTATTATTATTATTATTATTATTTTTCTTATCATTATTTTTCTTATTATTATTACCTCTCTGAGATGTCACTGAGAAACGCGAAGACGAAGCCACCTTAACAGTCGTTGATGTCGGATTTTCAGTTTCGGAGTCTTCATAATTACTGGTACGTGATTCTATAGTTAATGTTTCACCTGCTGTATCAGTAGATTGTTTTGTATCCGATTGAATCTTACACATTTCACGAGGTAATGGACTTACTTGAAAAGACTTTGTCGGGATGTTGGATGTAGCTAAAGAAGAGCTGCTAACTTTTTGAACCAAGCGTTCGGTAATAATTTCTTTAGTACCCTCATCTTTGTTTTCTTTTTGCTGTTTTGGAGGCTGTGGTGGAGGAACTGGTAGGGGCGGTGGTTGTAAAAGTTCAATGGCGTTATGGTTGCTTTCACCATCATTCTTATTATTATTATTATTATTATTATTATTATTATTATTATTATTAACAGTAGTATTAACAGTAGTAGTAGTAGTATTTTTAGCATCAACAACAGCAGCAACAACAAAATCATCATCATCATCATCAGCACTGTAACAGGTGAGACTTGTAGCACTACTATTCGCTACTCTTGAATTGCTTTGACGGTCACCATAACTTTTTCTTGAGCATGTATCATCTATTTGCGGAGGACTTTTACCAATTGTTGAGCAGAGATCCGTTGCGGTTGCATTCCTAACGTCCAATGCTGATCTTTTCATGACACCATTTTGTCGTTCCAACGGTGATGCTGAAAGGGATGAAATGGTGCGATAAGAAGCAAGATCACTGTTAGTGATAGTATCAAGGGGAATAGGTGATAATCCAGTCACTTTACAGTACATATCGTAAGAACTACATGCCAAAGATGCATCTTTTAGTGGTTTTTGATCTGATTTAAGAAAATGATTGCTATATATCCACATTGATGTTACACCTTGTATAGCTGTTACTTGATCTTCATTACTTGAACTAGGTAATACAAGCCCACACATAAGTTGTAATTGAGCTAAATTTGGTTCATTTTTTACTACAGGAGTGTTTGTATCAATAGGATATCCATATAAAACTGTATTTTCTACAGCATATAAAGGAAGACCATTGGTTTGAGGAATACTACGTAAAAGTATACCAGCAGAAGCGCATTGATTATCCGTTTCATCCATCAATGGTAAACGAAGGATACAACGAGTAAGTGTCGTTTTACTTCCTTCTCTTAGCACTATATGAAAAAGTCCAGCATCCTCCGTGTGATCACGTTCGCGACCCGCGACAAGAACACTGTAAAACATTTGGTGTTGATTATGTTGCGATCTTTCCACAGAATCATTGTTTTTTACCCAAAACAAATCACATGACGTCAATGAAAGATGTGCATAATCACGAATCATCACAATAGATCTTCCTGATGACTGTGGTACTACAGCACAAGAAGATAAGGCAGTATCATGAACAGAGCAACGACTATGATCGGTAAGAAGAAGACTGCTTTGACCATTTTGAACCATTTCTAAACTTGAGTCTCGAATTGCTAATTTACCATTTTCTTTCACCCATACACCTCCGCCATTACTATAAAAAACACTACGGAGTACTACGGCATTACTTCTATCACCAACAATTAAACCATGGCCACCACAGCGTACAACAGTCATATAATCAGCCTCAAGTGTTGCAGAATCCAATAAAGCTATAGCAGTAGATACTACACCAGGACCTGAAAAACTACAGTTAATAATTTTTAACTTTGTATGGCCAGAAGCTTTTAAAGCAGGTACCTCACAATTTCCTGCAAAACCCACTAACCCACAAATATGACTAAAATCACACTCTGAAAAAGTGCACACTCCATCAAGTAAGAGTTGTACACTCGCATAAGGTGATGATGAAAAATCATTCCGTACGCATTTCGGAGATGCTCCAAATATACACTGAGAAAAAAATACCGGTCCTTCTCCCACTACCTCAACAAGATTCCCAAACCAAACCGAGTGAAATGTCAGGGGTGCTCGGGCATAAATTTTAATAGGTTCATGAAATACTGCCATCATAGACATCTTTTTCTCATCAAGAATACAATCATTTTCACCATCTACTGAAACTTGAGCCGCGTCATCAAGGGAAACTTCAGAAAGAAAAAGACATGAGGCAGTGTTCTCAATCACACAATCCCCATAAACTCCCATTTGTAAGCAAACACGAGATGGTTGGTCACTGGGAAGATTCCCAACTGCGGTCATTAGCGATTTAGGTGTCACATCCATTTTTGGCCAATTTGAAGATGAATTCAAAAAAGAGTCAAGAACCAAATGTAAAACGGAGGCATCTTGTGATAAATTTACGGAACCCTCTTCATCGTCTCCTACCATATTTAATGTTGGATAACCCAAAATATATATATATATATATATATATATATTTTTTTTTCTGTATGTACTACGCAGTGCAAGTTCTATACTGTCTTCAAAAAGAAAAGAAAAAAGAAAAAAAAAAGATTTCTACAGACCACATCAAAGATAAATACAAAAAAAAAAAAAAAACCAAATGCATATTGTATAAATCTTTTCAGCAAAGGCTAGAAGTAACGCTTCTTGTGTTTTTTTTTTTTTTTCTTTTTCTTGTTTCCCCCTTTTATATATGTATATATGTATATTTACTTGTCAGGTGGGAAATGCATCTGACGGAGGTCTACACGACGTTCGGCCACAATAGTAGCCACCTCCTTCAAGTCATCAGAAGAATAAGGTGAGTCCATTTCTGGAATAAAACCCCATTGTACTTGCCACGCAGCTCGACCTTCAGGAGATGATACTGAAATCCCACCTGATGTTGATCTGCCTTGTTTAACGTGTACAGTGGGTGAGGCGTAGCAGAGTGTAAGCTCCTCTCCCTCATGTATTTCACGGATACTAAAGGCATGGATATAAGGTTCATACAAAAATTCTAATGGAACACCAGCTAAAAGATTATCAAAAACATCAATCCCACAAAAACTCTCTTCAGTAGACATTGTATAATAGCAATTAGGCTCAGGGTGATGATTAAGTTTATCCAACACAGGAATAAGCGTTGCAGCTCCAGAACGTCGGGATAAAACTAAACTTACCCACCAAGCATATTCCTCTTTTGAGAGTCGTTGTCGTAAAAATGCACTAAGAGGTAAACCATTCATATCATCATGAAAATATTCCCATAGTTGAATCGCAGGACTCTTCTCCAAATTATTTTTAGTAACCGACTTTTTACCTGACATATTCCTTTTCTCCTCTTTTAAAATCCCAAATATTTCTTCCTTCTCTAGAAAAGGTAAATTATTACTCGGTACAACAGACTTTTTCAAGTAATTCACGTAACCTGCGTGTGAAGGACACCAACCATCAGGTTCAGTGTCACCCCCTGCCACTACAAGTTGACCTACGAGATCTTCCACATGCATAAAGAAAGAAGTCACCGGATCACTTGAAGGCGGTGGATGCGCAAAGAAAACAGCCGCTACAGGCAAACTCAATAAAAAGACACCAGGTAATATACGACGAGTGGCCACAAAAGAACTCCCATATGTAACATTTTTAGTTTCTGGTTGTTTTAACGTTAAAAAAGGTGAAACAATCGCCTTTAAATCGTTAATAGCACTACGGACAAAGAGGACATCATCACTCTCTTTGGGTAATAATACAGAATTTATTTTCTGAGTGTTATCTCCCTCACTAGACCACCAACGGCGTTGAACAGCCTTTGCCAAACCAGAGCGCCAACGCCGTAAGGAAGATGCTCCCATGTGAAGTTCCTGGCAGAAAAAGTCCAGCAGAGTCTCTCCCTCCTCTCTTGTGGAGACATCACGCGGTAAAGTAATGGGGGAAGAGACCCCACGACCACCACCCGACACACCAACAAGGGCAGAATCTACACCTTCGTAAAGTCGACCAATTGCAGGAAGGGAACAATGAAGATTGCGAAGAAGAAGAGAAGGACCTGCATGCGACATTTAGAAGAATATGTTTTTTTTAATTATTATTATTATTATTATTCCCACCACAACCACAACCACAAACAGCAGCAGCAGTGCTACCGTCCCCACCTAAAGAAATCACATGATATAAGCGAAGAACGAACAAAAAAAAAAAAAAGAGAAAACAAGAAAGATATACTCGTAGAAAAAAAAAAAGAAAAAAATGCACATGAAACAAGAGTAACACTGGTAATGAAAATCATATATATGTATATATATAAACGATCACAAGAGCATGAAGATTAATAGAAATCGTAAAAACGAAAAATAAAATAAAATAAGCAAATAAGAATCACCTACATATTTTTGTAGGTATATTAAATAGCTAGAAAAAAAACTTCTTGTAAATTGTGAGTGTGTGTGTGTGCTTGTTTTAAATAGATCACAAAATAAAATAATAAAAAAAAAAAAAAAACTGAAAAAAAAAAAATTCTTCGTCTTTTATTTCCAGGTATAATTCCCCACCCGTCCCCCATCAAGTCCATATTTATTCTTTTATTGTGACAGCAGTAATTAGGCCAATGTGGAATTGAATCTTGATTAATAAATCTTCTTTTCCCTCCCCTTTCAAATAGGTAATCAACTCAGTAGTGGTGTCATACCAACGCTTTTCCACCACTCGAGATACACTGGTAGTGCAATCCTTAGAAGCATCAACAGTACATATAATGTTAGCAGCATCTCGGCATGGAATGCATTGGGTAACCCATAACGCCAAAAGCCCCTCCAAAAAAGATATCTCATCTAAAGAATCAACGTTAACGGACTTGTAAACAGTGGATTTTCGTTTCAGGAAATTTTCACTAGTTGTAATAATGTTACATAAATCTAGGAGTTTGGCTTCATCTCTAACGAGCTGTTGAAAGGTATATAAAATACGAGTGTACACAGTTCTCAACAAACGCATCTCTGTAGTAATAATTCCCGTTGTAGAAGAGTTTAAAAGCATTATCCACTCATTTCCAAGACTCCTAAGAACAAGTGCAAAAAAGTGTAAACTCTGTGCAACCTTAAAGGGAGGTATATAAGCTGTTGATGCCTCTGGATTACGGTACAATTGTGAAATACTAAGTTTAAGAGAATTTAATTTCTCCGGTGGTAAAGGTGAAAACAGGTTCGCCAAAGGTAAATAAAAATTGCATGCAGCAAGAGGTGTGGAAAGTATGAAGAACTTATTTCCTCTAATAGAAGAAGTAAAACAGGCATTACAAACACCCTCACTTACAACCATATTAGAATGGACATCAATATTCTCAGGAACATAGTTGCCTGACACTGACATTGGATAAGAGACTTCACACAAAACACCAAGTAAATCTGTACTTGCTTCAGTATCCAATGAAGCAACACAATATAGTGGCATACCAAGAGATTCACTTGTAGAATTATTATTATTATTATTATTATTATTATTATTATTATTATTATTATCTACATTTTCAGTGTGATTTGGGTCCACATTATTTACAACATCTGCAACACTAATGCTAGTGAAATTATTATCATTCACAAATATTTTTTCATTTTCTGAGATATACTCCCCCGAAAACATTGAGAAAATGGCAGTTGATGATGTTCCATCGTCCACATGCAATAGAATAGCCCAAGCAAGAGGTATTAATTCTCCTTTTTTGTGAAGAAAAGAACTATTGGACGGAAGGTATACATGCGACTCTCCCATCTCTTCAGCCTTTACACAAGATGGAGGAGACATTTGAGCAGCGTCTGAAAAGAAAAACTTCACCAAGACACTCTTCTCATTATTACATTTTCCAAAGTCTACAGTAAATCGTGAGAGAATACCTGATGAAGCACGTCCTCGTTGTCTTTCTTCTTGTTTTTCTGGTTCTTGATTGTCATCATCATTTAATTTCTTCTCATCTTTACGTTCTTCCTCTGTTTCCTCTAAAGCCAATTCTGCCCAATGTATATCTTTCCTTGATAGTGAACGCTGCGAAAAACATACAAGTTCCAGTTTTGGCAAAGAGTCCCCCATACAAGTCGTTAGACGAAGTTGGAGAACAGGTTCCATATTTATTCTTTCTTCTGCAGGAGAAATTTCCATCTTGTCCTCTAAGACTACTGAAGTAGACATCATCAACAGATGTCCCCAGCAACCCACAAAAGGTCCTTGAATTACACCTTCTATTCCTTCTTCATAGTAATGAATAGTCTGACGATAGTTACTCCCATTTTTTTCAACATTCAATAATGTATTCGTGTCTCCTCCTTTTTCTTTTTTATTTTCTTTTGTAGCTTCTTCGATCTGCTTAGAAATCAAAAATGGACCATTCACTACTTCTAATACCCTATATGAGAGAGAATTCTCTTTATTATTAGCGTCTTCATTAACAAAGCTAGCTGCTTGTTTTCCACATGCTAATCTTGCCTCTGTAATACTCTGACGATATAAGTCCTCTCCAAGTGCATTACAGGAAGCCGTAAAAGCAGAAGACCCAAAAAAATTTTGGGTTTGAAATAACAAACCACGAATATTATAATTTGGTTTCCATCCTTCACCCCAAATCTCTTTACTATTCTTCCCACTACGACTTGGTGTAGGTGTACTACACGTCCACGGAAGTCGCAGCGTATTAGACTGTCCACTCTCTGAAATCATTACAGATGACAGTGGGAGAAACACAGTTGAATAAACAAGTGGAGGAACAAATGGGTATAACGCTGAAAATGCAACAACTAATTGAATCACTTGACCAGAAAGTGGACCATCAGAGGGAGAAACATGTAGGATCCATTTCGCAATCATTGTATCATCACCACAACTAACATCAGTAGTGTTGCTATCATTACTATCAGAGTATAAGTTATGTGTTAAAACAACTGAAACACACGGAACAGGATGACGTTGAATATACCGAAGTTCCCTCTCTAAACGCCTAAGCACAGCAATAGAAGAAGAAGTTTGAGATTCTACAACCTCGGTATTCATATTTTGCTTATCCATCTTGTGATCTTCACATCTGTTACGGAATGGAATATGCAAACGAATATAATCAAGTGGATCCTTCACTGTATTTCTTGTTTTACCTTCCCATCTACTTTTCCTTCGTCTACCACGTCTCTTATTACTGTATACATTTGGAGTAGTTTCCTCATCATTCAAAGAAGTACTGACATCCTCATTATGTTGAAGACATTGTTGTTGTTGTTGTTGTTGTTGTTGTTGTTGTTGTTGTTGTTTTTCTTGATCTGGTGACGATGGTGATTCTAGAGGTATTAATGTCTTTATTTCCAAACGAAGACTGTTTTTGGTATATTTTAGTTTTGACCAGTCAATGGTACTCCTCTGAATTTGTTCTCTTTCACTCATATTACTACTACTACTAATACAAGCTCCGTGACTAACACCGGGAGAAGTTATCGCAGGAGTAACAGTGGTAGACCCACAGATACTGCTTCTCTCAGATGTTGTAAGATTTCCAACAAGACCATTCTCTTTTTCAATACTTTTTTCAACAATTAAACCCTCATTATCATTTGTTATATCTCTCAGTTCATCTAACTTGAATTTATCACTATCAGACGTTTCAATAGTCAATGAGTCTAAAAGATTCGAAGTAGGTATTAATCCTTGTAACGATAATCTGTTTTCTTCTTCATCTAAACATTCATTCTTCTCTGGCAATTCAACATCTATAGAGGGCACAGGCTGTAGATTACAAGAAAGAGTAGTATCGACTGTACCCTCTTCTTCTTCTTCTTCTTCTTTTACTCTCTCTGTTGTTTCTTCTTTATTGAGTGTTGGTATATTCTCCTCCTTTACTTGTTCTTCTTCCACTTCCACTTCCACTTCCACTTCCTCTTCCTCACTTTCCTTTAAACACTGTAGAAGAAAAGTCTCGAGTCGCCGCTGTTCTTTTTTCTTCTGTTGCTTAAGGAAGTTCATGGTACGACGCAGTTCTGAAAGTTCACTAACTTTATCCAACTGTGCTTTAGATACGCGATTAACGGAACCCGAAAGAATTTTCTGTCGCACATTATTAGCCGTTTCAAAACGCTTAATCACACTTTGTAGTTCCTCCGTGTTGGTTACTCTTTCCACATACCTTCTAAGAAAGGATTCCCGCGCCGAAGAAGAAGAGAGAGTACGAAGATGACGTACAAGCCGCTCTTTATCAGTCTCAGGATCCCCAATAAGATCATCATCGATGGTGTTATTCTTTTTTCTGGGTCCCGAATTTTCTCGACTTGTCGAAGTCTTTTGCTTTTCTTCTTCTTTTTCTTCTTCTTCTTCCTCTTCTTCTTCTTTAATTTCTTTCTTTTCTTCATTATCTTCTGATTCCACTTTCTCCATGAAAAGAGGATCAGCTTCTATAGAATATTGATTCACAACAGTATGGGTCTCCTCTGGAAGATCTTTTACTTCTCCTATTTCTTCTTCTTTTTCTACTGTTGTTGTTCCCAATACTTTTTTATTATTGACATCGCCTTCACTATGCCTTATATCGTCATCTTTTGGGAACTCACACTTTCGCACAGGTGGTACACGCCCCTGTTTTAAGTCTTCAAGATCCGAAAGCCAGATTGTGTACATTCCAATCTGTCGTTTCTGTTCACTCGTCATTACACGCAGTTCACCTCTTTCATACTGCTGGAAAAAAGGTCTGGCACGGTCAATGCGACGGCGTAAGTTACGAATTCTCTCGGAGAATATATTCTGCTCTCGTTGAGGAGAAGCACTCATCTTTATTAATTTATTTTTCTTTTTTCTTTTCTGTATATTAATTGAATACTGCTGAATATCACGTAAAGTACAGGGGCGACCACAGAGTAATAGCAGAGCCGCAGTCACTATTACACACAGATAATATGGTGTTTATATGCTTCTGGGGAGGCTACAACTCTTCTAGCTTTTCTAAGAGTTGTGGTGAATGCAAAGATAGATTTCGTCTACCAAGCGATGAAACGATGTGCACAAACAAGAAGTGCCCTTCGCACAAAGACACACACACACACACGATAAGTGGCTCAAATACTAAGCAAGAAAAAAAAAAATTTATTAAAGGGAAAAAGAGCAAGGGAGGGGGAAAAGGAAAATAATAATAATAATAATAATAATAAATAGCTCCCCCTATATATATATACTTATATTTTTTTCCCTTAGAGCGTTTGTGAAGCTGTATATTTTCTCTGACTTTCACGCTCTCAGAGATGGAAGAATTCCCTATCTTGGTTAGCAAAAAAAAAAAAAAAGAAAAGAAAAAAGAGAGAAAAACAGAATGCAAGAATCAAAAACAAACTGTTTTATCACACAAAAACTTTCCACACCTGGATACTCTGTAGTATGGTCCCTGCATCCACACAGACAACTTTCACAGTATTATTATCACTTTCCGTTTGCACATAAATATGTTCGTTTCTCTTTTTTTTTTCTTTCCTTTTTTTTTTCCTTTTTTCTGCGTGTATGTATTATATTGGATCCATGGTCGATTAGCTTGCAAAATGAATTAATCTTTATCCCAGTAGTAATACTCGTTTACGCATATAAGATATTCCTAATCTCCTCCGCACAGGAATTGTTCGCTCTCTTTTATTTGCTTCTCATTCTATCCAATGCTTTCCCACCACCCCATTCTTTTTCCACTTCTCCCCCCACATATAAACCAGAAAAATGATCTCTCTTGAATTTGTTTTCGCTAGCGTACTTCCATACAGAGAAAGAATATACAAATAATCACTCTCTGATGGAAATGAAAAAAGAAATAGAGTGTGAAATTTGGTACAACAACAAAATAAAATAAAAGTCGCAAAAATAAAAGAACAAACCGTACACTCTACACACACACAGAATGTCTTATTCCTGCAAAGAATGAAATTATACTCTTTTTTTTCATGAGAAAATAGTGTTTCGCTTTGGTTTTTTGTTGTTGTTGTTTTTTATTATTATTGTAGTTTCCCTCTCAAATGGTTCTTCTTCATTAATATACTTAGTAACTACGTCCGAAGAGCACCCACTCCTTAGCTTGGTTGTTACAGCTTTTGCAGATACAAGTCCGTCCTTCAACGCCTTCAGGTTGCTGAAACGGAATGCAAAGTGATTTGGCACCCATACTCGGGGCACGTGCATCATCACGCGTCTCTTCACTTTGCAGAATTTTGGATTCCTCTGCACTGTCCTTCTTGATCTGTTCCTCGCAGGCCATTGAACCACACCATGGGGCCAACACCAAAGCCTTATTATTGATTGCCGGTGTGAAATCCTCCCACTCTGTCAACTTCTTCGTGTTTTCCTGACGCTCTTGCGCAGCTCTCACCAACATAGAATCGTGAATTTCGTCCATGAGAGCAAGGAATGTGCTGGGGAGTTGTTCATTCCATGGAACTGTTCGACGGCTGTTGTTGTAGCGCAGCGCCACGGACAACTGCTGTGATGATAACTCCTTTGGTCCCAACTCAATGCGCACAGGCACACCCTTCACTTCCCAGTGGTTAAAGCGCCATCCTGGGCTATAGTTATCACGCAGATCAGCCTTTGCACGAAGGCCAGAGTTTATAAGGTCCTTTTCAAGAACCTTGCACTTATCCAAGAGTGTCTCTCGTTCTTCATCTGTTGTGTCTTTTGTAATTCCCACAGGAATAATAACGACTTGTACGTTAGCCACACGAGGAGGAAGAACCAAACCGCGATCATCACCGTGCACCATAATCATAACACCAATAACTCGGGTAGAAAGACCCCATGAATTTTGCCAGGGAATAAGAGTAGAACCATCATTCTTTTCAGGATCTTGGAAGTTAATATTAAACATCTTTCCAAAATTTTGTCCCAAATTGTGGCTTGTCCCTCCTTGGCAACCACGGCCTACAGGAGCAATATAGGTCTCCACAGTTGTGGTATAATATCCACCAGCAAACTTTTCCTTTTCTGTCTTCTTACCCTTTACCACAGGAACAGCAAGTAATTCTTCATATACAGCAGCATAATGGTCAAGAATTTGAAGAACATCATCGGCACACTCCTCCTCCGTTTGCCATGCACAATGACCCTCCTGCCAGAGGAACTCACGTGTACGGATAAATGGTGTAGGATGTGAGAATTCCCATCGAATAACACTGTTCCACATATTCAAACGCACAGGTAAATCTCGGTGTGAACGAATCCATTTGGCATAATATGGATACATAACAGTTTCACTGGTAGGACGGATACCAATAGGCACCTCAAGATCTGTTTCACCAGCTCTTGTCACCCAAGCAACTTCAGGTGCAAATCCTTCCACATGATCCTTTTCTCGTTCCAAACAACTTTTAGAAACAAACATAGGGAAATAACAATCCTCAACACCCATTTTTTCAATGCGGGAACCAAGAAATTTCTGAACACGGCTCCAAATAAAGAATGACCATGGGCGCATGATATAACAACCTGAAACATCATAATATTCAATCATTTCTCCCTTAGTAATAACTTCAGTATACCATTGAGCAAAGTTTTCTTCACGTTTTGCCATAATACCTAGCTTAGTTTCACCAGAAGCTGTATTTACAGCGTTAGAACCAGCCCCTCCAGATGGAGGAGGAGACTTCTTTCCTGCATTCTTTGTATTTTGTTTATTAGCCTCTGGTTTTTCCTTCGCAGCAGCCGAATCAGTTCCTGTGGCTTCTGTAGAAGCATTTTCTTCAGAAAAATCCACAACTACATATTTGTAGCCAATCTTATCTAGAAATTGGCACAATTGTTTAGGTGTAATAAGGGTGCTCTTGTCATTTCGGCAAGGGTGTAATACAACAGGAATAGGGCTATCCATAAGTGCCTTGTCAATAATTAACTTAATCCCTTTTGAACTATCGTTTATGAGGGCAAATGGTGTAACACTACCCTGAACAACACCCAATTTTGACATCAAAACATCCTCAGGTGCGAATCGGAGATCTTTTGTATCAGCTGCTTTTTGAATCATCTTCATATTCGTCTTTGTGGTGTGAAGCGCTGTCACAAGAACCAACTCATTCTTCTTACTCTTTAAAAACATATTTTTAACACCAATGCAAGGTGTTCCAAAACGCTCCAATTCCTTATTTGCCTCCTCTACAGTGTGTTTCTCCTCATGAGATATGGTGGGTAAATCCATATCTAGGGAACGGAGCACTTCTAGCAGCTCCGCCTCACCTTTGCAATCACTTGCGGACATCAACTTCGTGGATTTGGTTGCCTGCTCTTTGTTGGGGTTATTAAAAGAGGAGAAGCCGGGGAAAAGTTTTGCATCAGTTCCATCCGCCCTGTGATGATGATAGGGCCGCACCGAACAGTAAAGAACAGCACGACCGCACTTTAAAGGTGCAGTGCGGAACAAAGGCGTTTTCTGTGGCAAGCCAAGTCGAAACACTGATGGAAAGAGGATACCACGAGCACGCCTCATCATCAGCGTTCTCTTTGGCTAGCCACTCACACACCAGTAGCAAAAACAAAAACAACAACAACAACAATAACAATAACAACAAAAACAGTAATAGTAACAACAACAAGAACCAGAAGAAGAAAACCACTAACAGAGTTCAGCCTCGTATACACGTGAAAAAAAAATATCTATAAATAAATAAAAACACCATACTGAAATATATTTTTTTCCATGTTTCTGTATTATTTCTTGTCTTTATTATTACTATTACTAGTATTATTCTTTTTTCCACTCCTCACAACAACCAAAAAACTGGGGACAAACCAGAGAGACAACCTCAACACAAATACAATTACAGAAGAAAAAAAAAAAGATAGATGTATTTTCTTTTTCTCACATTCTCTCTCTCTCTCTCTCTCTCTCTCTCTCTCACTCCTTCTGCACGAATACGTATATTTACATTATCGCATAAGCGTAAACTTAGAATCAGGCCGCATATCACGGAGTTCCTCCAGTTTGTTCCTCCCATAGTGCAGTTGCCATTCAATACGCGTAACACATCTTCGTGGAATATCGATATTTCCGTTAAATTCAGAACGAATATAATGACGCAAGTTCTCTCGCGTCTGTGGGTCCTTCATTTTTCTTGTCTCTTTCAGCAAATCATGATAAAGACCAAGTATCTCCAGCTGCACTCCACTACGTCTAGGACCTTGCCTTATCGCACTGGAAGGCTTTGAAGAATCATTACCGTTGACTACAGACTTTTCTTTGTCTGTTCGCATCGGTGTACCCTCACGCTTCGCTGATAATGATGACACAGCAGAAGAAGTACTGGTATTCATACTAGCGCTAGAAGTATTAGTGGATCGGGGTTCACCTTCTTCTGGGTACATGGGGTTTCCAGCATACCGCGCTTCCTTCGCATACACCGCCTCCCGATAAACTTTCGTCATGGTATCAAACGCAAAATTGTGTCGATTTCCCCCACGATCACGTATCTTGTGGCGCGATAGCAAAGAAAGACACAGCATCTACAATAACAGTACTATTACTACTACTATTAGTACTCACTCAGAGAGACAGATAAATAGATAAATAAAGAGAGAAAGAGAGAGAGCACTATTTCTTAGACTCTCAGTAGCTTTCTTCCCCTTTCTTTTTTCTTTTTTTTACAACGCTTAAAAAAAATTGAGAGAAACCAATTTGAAGAAGAAACATGGTCTTCAATAGCGTTGATAACAAAGAAAGTTCGGAAAAAAAAATAAAACGAATAAAAATAGGCAACAAAACAAAAAAAAAGTATAAACTCTTTTATCTTCTCTTCATGTAATTTGATTTAATCGAGTCTGTCATCTTCTTCTTCCTCATCCTCATCGTTGTCATCATCATAATCATCATTATTATTATTATTATTATTATTATTATTATTATTATTATTATTATTATTATTATCAGATGTATGCTTTATTAAATGAAGAGGGTTTTCCAGTTGTTTTAGCTGATGCGCCTCCGGATGAACAACGACGACACCATTACCAAGCTGTAACTGAGCAATGTACATCATATCATGAAATACCATAGACTCTTCTGCAATGCTTACCAATCGAACTACCAAACCATTTTGTAAATTAAGGAGTTTCTCAAGATTGGCGTCAAACTTTAATTGTAATGCTGTAGATTCACCACTTTCATCATACAGTCGTAGTGGATGACGACTTTGAACCACAGTTGACCATGGAAGGAGATATCCAGCGTAACCAACTTGACGTCCAGCATCTATCTCTGATTTAGCAAAATTTGCCGCTTCTGATACAGCGTTTGTTGTTCCTAACCATCGCCACTTTCCAATATCTTTGCTATCCAGTGAAGATAACTCTTCCTGCATCTCCCAGTGTGATGTTAAACCAGCATTCTCTACTCCTTGCATGGGTGGATAAACTATTTGCTCTGACCAAACTACCTCATTCAATCTTCTTTTTGTTTTATTCTCAGTAAAAGAGATAAATTTCTCTGGAGACGGGAAAGGCCAACCAAAACTTGTAAATTCTGTACAAGTACCATGAGATGTAAGTAAATCTAAAAGTGAACGAAATAGACTACAACTAAAACTGATCCTCTTATCTACACCCAAGGATCCTTTCTGTGAAGATGAGGAACAATAACAACAATAGCGTTGGTGTAGGAGTAGCATAATCCAAAGTAGTCGTTCACACATATGTATTTGCATCTCTCGTACTGCGGTGTGTGATCTTTCTTCTTTTTCTTCTCCTCCTTCTTTATTTGATTCTTCAACAAGTGTGGTAGTAAACTTCCCTGTTATTTCTTCTGAACTTCCACCAATAGTTCGATGCCAAACACTAAAAAAAGCATTTGCAATAGTTTCATTATAGCTCTCCCGTAACCATTCCTCACATTCTGGTGAATGTAATACTAAAGACTGAATTGCCACAAGTCGAAGTCCTTCTACAATAGCCGTAACATCTTGACAGAGAGGATGTTGAAGAAGATGTCGAACAGTAAATAACATCGCACGACCCCCTGCATGATGTTCAATCTCCTCTCTCGATTTTATTACATCTTCATTATCGTTGTACCTCTCATTTGGAAAAAATGACAACGCATCAAAAGCCTTATAATACCGCAGTAAAGAAACTTCCAAAACGCGGAATGCAATATTACGAAGAACACCCGTTATGTCATTATCTCTTGTCATGGCACCACCAGCACGGAGAACAGATCCTTCACTTCCCTCCTCTAAGAGACTTGCTGTTTTTTCTGCCATCACAACTGCTACAAGGCGTCGCGTAGCTCGGTAAAAAGAAGAAACAATATAAATTTGTTGCGATACTGGGATTCCTGGAAAAAGAAGAAGATTATTTTTTTGTTGTTTTTCTTCTTTTTCATACCTTTGTAAATAACTTAAGAGTCTTTCACAAAGAGACTTAAGGGTATGAATACGTGGTTTATGAGGTAGTAATACGTAACGAGTAGCTCTTGGACTCTTTTGTAATTGATGAAATACACCAATAGCACTATAAATTACTGATTTTATCCCATCAAAAGATAATCGTATCGGGGATAATATACTTCGGGTATCATTCTCATTGTCAATCATTTCCGTCAAAAACTCTGATAGTGGCGAAATAAAACGCAAAATGACTAAGGGGTCTTCTTCCAATCGTAACAATAACTCAATCAATACTACTTGATGATTAAAATAAACATCACTAGTTTTATTTTTAATAAAATGAGAAGATGCTGATAGTCGCAGCAACAAACGACGAAATTCATCATCACTTGTTATTGATAATGGTAATAAAGGTAGATATTCTCCTTCCATGTGAGTTGAAACAAGACGAATTCCATTTTTAGTATATCCTTTAGATTGACACAATCGCTTGTAAGCTTCACGAATAATATCGTGAACAATCAAAGGAACTTCCTCTTTCCAAAATAAACAGTTAGATAGGTAATCGGTATTATCTGAGTAAGAAGTAGTATCATTTAAGGTTGCTTCTGTAGAGAGAGAGACATTATCTTGCTTTCCTTCCTCTACATGTAAAGGTACCTCTGGTAGTAGTAATAGTGATAACATCTTATCCAATATTTGCCGTAATTCTTCTGAAACACCAGTTGACATCATTACCTCCTCCAAATGTGAAACTCTTTTAATCAGATGAAACAATAAAAAATCTGGTGGAGGTCCTTTACAATAGCATGAAACACTATCGGTTATCTTTGGTGTCGCTAGGTAATCCAGGTAAACTTTGAGATGCGGAAGCCACATCTGAAGAGGAATATCAGAGATACAAATAATCCACTCCACAAGTACTGGAAGCATTGGTTTCACCTTTGTATGAGTTCCAACAAGGGGAAGAAGTGGTTGCAGAACACAAGCTGCTAATTTACACAGCGTCTCTTTTGTTTGTCCAGAACGTGAAGCCCAACCGCCAAGTCTCTCATCAGGATCTATCCATACTGCATATCCTAGTCCCTTTAAGATTTCCACACCTAACAATGGATGTAATACACTCTCTTCTGCTTCCCCTACACTTTGTTTGTGATTAAGAATAACTGTTATAAGTGTTACAACACTTCCTGGTGTCTCCCACCAACGGCCTGGTGAATTTAGAAAGAAACGTCGTACCGCAGATGAAAGGGCATTCAGTCTCACTACAGTCGATGTGGCAGATGATGTCTTTGATGTCTTTCCATCTAGAGAGGTTGAATTATGTGGATTACCCTCTACAGGAGAATGCACACAGCGATGACTGCTAACAATGCCACTGTGGTGGGATGTTAATATCACTCTAGTTAGCTGCTGATACCGCCGCAGAATGCGTCTCATGACAATCTTCTTGGTTGTTTCGTTATTATTTTTTTTTCGTATGTATATATGTATATGTGTGTGTCTCTCCTCATCGAACACTATAAAAAAAAAAAAAAAAATACCAAAAAGAAAAATAAAATAATAATAATAATAATAATAATAATAATAATAATAATAATAATAATAATAATAATAATATCAACCAAGAAAGACTCTTAAAGAATGTGTGAGACCATCAGATAAGCAAGATACAAAAATACGGGAATAAATGTGCAACTGTTATCGATTCACTTTTTTTTTTTTTTTAATGGAAACTCCATAAACGAGAAACAACGCAAATAAGTCTGAATGTGAATGTAAGTATGACTGTCACAACGGCCCATCATGAAAGGGGAAAACATGAATAAAACCAAAAACAATTTAAAAAAAAAAAATGAACGCAATAAGGAAAAACGTCTACAATGACTTTAAACTACATAATCTAGTGATAAATCATAACTTTCTGAAATGACAAGGAATCTCACATGTAAGCAGCAAATCTAATAACTTCTTTTCAGATCATTTTCATCTTCTCTCAGAGTATCAAGCAAAACAAAGAAAAATAATAAAAATAAAATTACGCTATGAACTAGGCAACTGCATGAATGAACTCGGTGATGTCGTGGAGAGGTGTTCACCCTCATCTATAGGTATCCCCATGATCTCTGCCTGTCGTAACCACACCTCTTGGTGTTTGCGCATCACACCCCGTTGAATGGCTTGGCTAGTCATTTGGGTCTCTTTTCCACTTGTTATGGCTGATGAAGTGGAGGAGAAACTCGAAGAGGGAGAACGGGAAGCAAGAGCAGCATAAGAAAGAGGGTTTGCTTGTTGTTGGTACTCTTTGAGTTTATTGTCCCATTCTTCTTCTTTATCATCACCTTCTCGCCGCTGCTCTTCAACAACAATAACAGATGGGGCAAAGGTTACAGTTCGCCTTCCAGGCGTACTTCTTCCTGTAAAATGAATCGGCAATGCATCATCTCCTTCTAGGTCATGCTTATTATAAGAGTGAGCCGACACTGTGGAGCGCAACTCTTCAAAAGGTTTTGTCAAATCTCTCCCGTTATGATGTTGATTTTGCTTATCTTCTTCTTCTTTTTTTTCTTGTTCTCGTTGTTGTCTTTGTTGTTGTTGTTGTTCTTCTTCTTCTTCATGTTGTTTCTGTAGCAAGGGTGGTGGTGGTGATGGTGGTGGTAAGGACTCTTCCGCAGAGAATACGGCTGGTAAGGTTACGGAGGGACTGCGGGGAGTGGGTAGACTAAGCAGCGACTCCTCTGGTCTCAGTGTAGTCTCTCCAGAAATTTTCACAATCGACGAGGTGGAGGAGGAGGAGGAGCGCTGCGGTCGGCCGTTCGTCTCTTGTCTTATCTGCGCAGTTAATGCTATACGCAATGCCTGCTCCTTCTCTGCAAGCTCAGCACGAACCTTAATGAGTTGGGCTCGCAGGGCCTCAAAGCATTCATCTTGAACCCGCTGATTTGACACCCGCTCTTCACGGAGGCGTTGCAGTTGTCCTTGCAGGGCAGCCGCACGTTCCTTTATATGTAATAACTCCTCACCTTTTAACTGCGCAAAGGACTCCACTGCCATCATCATTCTTGAGTGGAGTGCATGGTAAAACTCTTCCATTTGCAGGTTTACATGATCTAATAGTCGCCCCAAATAACTATTGGGGAATGGAGATGCTTTCATATCTTGCGACTCTAAAGCAGAGATATGTTTCACCTCTGATGAAGAAGTAGAAGGTTTTTTTATTGACATTGTCAAGGAAGATTCCTCATTTAAACGTCGAATTATTTTATCACGCTCTTCAATATCAAGCATTAAACGTACCTTTTCCTGTTCGGCAGTTAGTAACAACTTCTGTAAGTGACGCACTTGCTTACTTTGTTGTCCTACAAGTTCGTTTCGATCTTTACGAACAACTTCAAGTTCTTCTCTCAATTCCATATGACGTTGTTTTTGCGCATTTATACATGTCTCTAGTTGAGACAGAGAGTCTTTTGCTCGAGTGAGGAGGTCAGCATAATTTATATTATTTAACGCACTAGTTGATAACGTATCGTACGTCTCTTCGCAGACAGTATCAGATGTCATTTTCCAATCATCATCATTATCATTTAGCATTTTTGCAATAGAGGCTATGAGTGTCTCAATTGAATGTACTAAATGCTGCAACTCTAAACGGCCAATAGATTCTAAAGAAGATGAATCCGTCTTTTCAATTAACTCTGTCACTCCAATACCTTTTAATGTCTGTACAAGTTGTGATGCAATCCATTTTTCATCTGAATTCACACGACGCATTCTATCCACTACACGTCGTAGTAGTCCATCTGTATGTTCTTGAAATGAATCACTTAAATTACTTCCGTCTTTTCCACTTATGTTTTCATTCTTTATATCACCATGTAAATAAAGGTCCGCCTCCAGTTTTTGTAATTGTTCCTGAAGTCGTCGTCCCTCTTGTAGATTCTTTTCACCCGTCTCTCTCAGTCGCATCACCTCCGCTTTAGACATAGATAGCTCCTCCTCCATTAAATGAATCCGTAATTGGGCCTTCTGCAGTTCCTTCTCTTTTTCTTCAACTTGTTCTGACATTTCTGAGACTTTAAGGTGAGTTTGACGCAGTGAAGTGGCTAATAGTTCCTGTTTCTTTTTTAGATTACACTCCATAGAGAGCCATTCTTCTTGCTGTGAATGTTGATGCTCCTCTTTCGCAAGGAGATCTGTCTCTAGGTTTTCTCTTTTAATAACTTCCTCATATAATTCATTCCTAAGGGTATCACGCTCTGAGCGAAGCAGCTTAACTGATTCTTGAAGATCATGGCATCTCTCATCCAGCATACATTGTACTTCTCTATCAGTTTTATTTATTAAAACATCTATGCAATTATTTTTCTTTGTTTCTATATCCTGTTTACAACGTACTACCGTAGATCCTCTTTCTACCTCCTCTAACTTCACACTATTTTCTTTACTCTGAGCCAACAAAGTCCGTAAACGTTTGTTTTCTAGTTCTAACTCAGAAATCAATGGTGAATGAATGGAAGTTTTCTCTTTTTCTTGAGTTTCCAACGTATCCAATTGTATAGAAGAAGAAGATGGTAACGATGTTGTTGCTGTTGTTGTCGCACTACAGTATTCATTCACACGTTGAATAGCAATAGCGAGTTGCTGCTCAGCTATCACACAACGTTGTTTCCACCACGCAGCTTCTTGCTCACACATTTTCCCCCAACCACGATCAAGAACAGTACTAAGTAAAACTGGTTCTTCCCCTGTTTCTCCACGAGACTCTGGACCATCACTCAAAATCCAACGCTTTCCTGATCTACTACTACCTACATTCTCCTCTGGAAGAATACTTCTTCGACTCCGGCCATTTGGTCCTCCTCCTGTAACTATAAATGATAAAGGAGTATGTCGGTTATTCATCAACGGTTCTCTTTCTGTAGATTGAGAACGTGTTCCATTCTTAGAGTGGAGAGTTGAACATCGTTGAGGTTCTTGTGATGGTACTAGTTGACTCGGTTGACTTATATTTATACCAACCGGTGTTGTTGTTGCATTCTTTCTTCCATACTTTATGCAGTTATCATTAGTTCGATTCAGAAACATATTTTCACCTTGTGAATTTGGAAGTCTTGAAATAACATCAGGTACTTCTTTCCTATTCTTATCCTCTGCAGCGTCTATCGTTGTTGTTCCGTCACTACACCCGATCCCGCAGGTGTTATCCTTGTCATCTGTTAACGGAACACTGCAGTCAACACCAGTCATAGTAGTATTAGCAATACTACTAACAACACTGTCGACAGTAGAGGAAGTGCAGAGACCAGCCGCCGTGTGTAGACTGCGGGAACCATCGCCGCAGCGAACAGCAGAGCGGGAACTGGTAGAAAACAACTGACTCATCGCCTAACACACACACACCCGTTATGTATATATGTATATATACAACTCTGTGGCTTTCAGATACGGGTGAATCCCCAGAGACAGAAACAGAAACAGAGAGAGAGAAAAGAGAAAAACAAACAAAGAATTAATTCAGATTACTAAGGGCCAATACAATGGAACACCAACCAAATTGTAGAACACACACACACACAGAGACAGAGAGATAGAAATAATAATACAATCACACATAGACAAAGGGTCTGCAAAAACAAATCAAAAATCAAAAAAAAAAATATAAAGAAAAGTAAGTCTTCAAACTAGACTTTATATCCACTTAATGGCTGTCAGAAGTGTCCTATATTAGTAATTAGGAAAACAAAGAAGAAGAAAAAATAAATATGTCACTGTGAAACGAGAATTACTTTCGATACAAGACATGAAGTTCTTTTTTTTTTTTTTTCTTCTATTCCTCCTCCTCTTCTTCCATTTTACAAAAGCATTCTAATGTTTGACACTCTTCTTTTCTGTTTCTTCATCAGAGCCCCATCAACAAAAGCCTCACATTCACAACAGTAAAATAGGGACAAGCAGAGTACTTTAACTGCTTTCCCTCTCTCTTTCTAACAAACACACAGAGACTACTCAGCCAAGATCAAATCTCAATATGACTGCAAACAATTTAAAAATAAGCCAAGAAAAAATAATAATAATAATAATACACCAACAATTTTTGTAGAGCAAACTATATTATATATATAAATATATATCCCTTACTTCTTTTCTCATATCTTCTCTTTCTATTTAAGATTCGTTACTACCAGTACTATCACCACAATCCCAGTATATATATATATATATATATATATATATATATATATATATATATATATA